TCTGAAGCCAGCATGTTCTGGAGTCCACAAAGAGCCCAGAGTGACTGCCAACCCAGAGAGCCCTGTCCCTGCACCCCGGGCCTGATCTAGGGCCACCCCCTCAGCTGGGGGCATAGAAAGAGTTCTGGACTAGGAACCAGGAGCCCCAGGTCCTAATTCACCCCTCAGCCCCTCCAAAGTTCCATGAGGGCAGGAAAAGAATTCTATTTCTCATTGCTCCTTCTTGTGGAGCCCTAGACACGCAGTAGCCACCAATACATGTTTGTTGAGTGAATGAATAAAAGCATCTGTTACTAGTTTGCCTCCTTTCCTCCCAAGGGCCTTAGAATACAGACTGTGCGGGTCTCATCATCAGTTCCCGCATTGGTACAGCTTCCACTCCCCCAGGTCTGTTCACGCAGGACATTGTTCTCGACTACCCACCATGTGCCTGGCCCAACCAAGGCCTCAGAGCCATCCAGGGCCACGGGCACGGTCAGTCTGTGTCCCCACAGGCCATCCTGTCTCTTTTTCATGGCCAATGTCTGTAATACTTACTCACGTTGGGCGTCCTCAGGCCAGGACAACCACCCAGCTGCCTTACTATCTGCAAGCTTAGCCCGTTCGACGGACGTGGACAATGATTCCTGCACTTGCACTTCCCTTATGCCCAGCCCTAGGGGAATACAGCCCAAGGAAAACCCCCACCCTAACCACACACATGCGTATGCACACACACACTTGCACACATACACACTCCAATGTGCAAAGGGAGCCAAGGACAGGAGTGGGATATTCTGAGTTCAAATCCCAGGCCTTTTGCTTCTGAACTGTGTGACCTTGGGTGAGTCCCTTTACCTCTCTGAGCCTCCTTTTCTTCATCTGTAAGTTGGGGATGATAATCATGAAGCCTTTTCATGTAGGATTGTAGGGATTCAGTGAGATAATGAATACAAAAACTTTTGACTTAATAAATAAACCTTTGGCTATGCTCAATATAATTGTTATTTTATTTTCTTCTTCCAGGAGGGAAAGGGAGTAGCAGTTGCCTAAGCTCCAGGGAAATCCATATTTAGGTGCCTGGAATGTAAGAATTTACTCAGTATATTTGATAGGGATTGTCTTGAGGATAGGAAAGTATTTGTGGGTCGAGCACCACCACGTTAATTTTAAGATCAACTAATGAAAATTAAGGCTTAGAATCAGAGAGGGAAGAGACCACAGAGGCCACTGCATTTGTGGCAGAGACAGCTAGCTGTCCACCAACGTACTGCCACAGTACATGGCTGTAGCTGGGGAAGAGCCACCCTCACCCACAACTCCATTTTCCAGCCTCCTGTGCTACCAGATTGACTACATGACTAGCCCTCACGTGGGGCAGAAGGCAGTTCAGAAGCAGCATGTCACCTCTGTGCTTTCTTTCATCAGTGATGATGTCCAAGGGGGATAGTGGGGCCATGAGATGGGGCACTGAATTACTGCATGGAGAGGATCACCCCCATTCAGAGGTACCTGCCTAATAATAAACATCTGTTTTGTTTGAGCTCTTGTACATGTTAGGGTGTGTTTGTCACTGCAGCTACTTCCCTGACTAATACAACATTCAACCTCTTCGTTTACAAAAGAGGCAATTATGGCCAGAGAGTGAGAGTACCTCACCTAAGGTCACACAGCAGATGTTAAGACCTTTGGTCTGTCATCAATTTGAAGTAGATTTGCAGTTTTCTGCCTGCCACACAGAGCTGCAAAGGGGATTTTTAGAAGCCCTTCAGCAAGGAGAGTGAGGTTCAGTGAACTGTGGTCTGGAATCCTCCACTTCTGTTTGAACCAGAATAAAATACCACTTTTCTCTGTTTTCAGTTTGTACTTCATATATTTTCACTGGAGGAAAGGGTTAAAATAATTTCAAAGCCCACACGCTGGGTGACTCCAAGTATGGTCTGACTCTCTGTAGTACTATAAGACATAGTTTCACTTCTTCTCCACCATGCTTCTTGGCCTCAACTGCTGACACAGGACATAGAGACTGGCAGAAGTACACAGATATTTGCTTAGAAAGGAAAAAAAGAAACCTCACTGCAGGAAATAACCAAGAAACCTGGGCAAAGGGCAAAAGAAAAGATTTTCAAGTACTCTAGCTGAGTGGTTCTCAAGTTTTGGAGTGTATCAGAATCACCTAGGGAGCTGGTTCAAAATTTGGACTCCCATTCAAGGATTCTGATTAAAAAACTGAAGCTTTTAAGAAATATTCATGATTATTCCAATGCCAGTGGTCCCAGAATTGCACTTAAAGAAGTCTTGAGTCGACTTCATAGCCTTGAAACTGGCAGTGATAGCCACACTCCTGCAGGATAGCTCAAAGAGAACAAAATAGGCTTTTAGTTTTCCTGGACACAGTCATGAGCCTGAGTGTTAATAATCTATTGGTAAAGAAATCTATAATAATTTCCATTTGGCTCATATGGGTGTCACAGATATAGACATCATGATGAAATAGAAATTATAATAGGATAATAGCTAATGTGTATAGAGCTTTTATGACAAGCCCTCTGCTAAGTGTACCATGTGTATAAACTCATTTAACCTTTATAATGATCATGAAGGTAGCTACTATTCATATCCCCATTTTATAGATAAGGAAACTGGTGCATAAAGAAATAACTTGTTCCACGTCACTTGGCTGGCAGGCAGCAGACAAGGTTCAAACTCACCCAACGGAACCCAACCCTATAGTCACGATGTTCTGTTGCCTGTTGTGGAGGTCTAACATCAAAACCCCTCTCCAGGCCTCAGTTTCCTAATCTGTAAAATGTGGATGTTAGTAATATCCTTGTCACATAGACAAATCTTTATCATATGGTGAAGATGAAAGAAAACCATGGTGATAAAATGGTTTGCAAACTAAGAGGAGATATGAAGTAAACATCTAAAAGATGAGATTTTAGTCTAACTCCCCTATTCCATTTTACAGATAGTGACACTGAGGCCTGGCTGCTTTATTTATTTAGTGAACAGTCACCGAGCACCCACTATGTGCTAAGGTCCTGTGCAGTGGGGACTGAGGATACATCAAGTCTGGCCTTAAGGAACTCTGAGGCTGGCAGGAGAGACAAACAAGGCAACTGGCAAGTGCCACACAGTGTGACAGTCACCGTGATGCGGGACTTGAGCACTGAGAGGGCCCAGTGGGCAGACCTTGGTCCAAATAACAGGGGACTTCCCAGAAGGGGTCACACCAGAGAAGAGGGTGACTTGCTCCAAGTCAAGTTCATTGATGCCCAGAAGTTTTGGAGGAAGCCAAAGGAGGGTCTCTGGGTACCAAGAGAGAACGTTTTCTATGCATTTCTCAGTGCTTGACACCCCACCACTTGAGCATCGCTGGTTTGAGTTAAACCCTTTTCCTTAAGAGGATGTCAAGACACCCTCCTCCCACCCCCGGAGGCCTGGATTAGCCAATCATGTTTATCTCAGCAGCTGGGGCAATTAGAGGAGTCTTTCGTTTGAGCCCGTCTGGAGGAAGCAGGAGAGACAGCAAGAACCGCAGGGAAGATTAAGCTTGAAAAGGAGGTAGGGGGGATGCCAAAAGGGAAGTGTGGGGCCAGGCCCCCTCATGGAAAGAGAAGACAGACCCAAGGCCTGGCCACTTCCTCGCTGGCCTCTGAACCACAGCGAGGTCTGAGTGATCACACTTACAGAAGCCTGGATGACCAGACTTAGGTCAGGCAGCAGTTACTTGATAATTACGATGTGTTGTTTGCTTGTAATCGTGCCAAAAGCTGGTCTCTGTGGCTTCCCTATTGAACATGTGCTCCTCTGAAAGCCGAGGGGAGTGAGGAGAATACTTTCAACAGGTAAGCACTGACAAAAGTGTTCCTATCCTTCATATACAAAGAACCAATACATACCAATAAGAAAAAGATAAACGTGCAAACAGGAAAAAAAATGGGAATGGACTTGAACAGGATCATCATAAAAGAAATGTGAACCACAGGATTATAAAGGACCATCAGCATGAACAAAGCAATGTGAGGTGCGCATCCAAGGACTGTTCTCGTTTTTCTCATCAGAGATGTTTTAGAAGATGGGTAGCGACCACTGTGGGTAAGGCCACGAGGACATCACATCCCAATACTGCACCAGGGGAGCACCACCTTCAGGGGCAATGTGGTCAAAAGCCTCAACAGCCTTAAAAACTGGCAAACCTTTGACCCAGAAATTTTGCCTCTGGACAGGTGTCCATGCACAAGACAAACACGAAATCTGATGTATGAGAGTGGTCATTGCTTCAGGGTTTATGATAACGGGGAGAAAGGAAGAAGGCAAGCACAGTGACGAAATAAATCCCAGACACCCTTCCCATTCGGTCATTAGAATGTATATGGAAAAGTATAGACAGTACAGATGGACATTCACAGTCTGTGGTAAAGGACAAGGTAGGTAAGCAAACAAGATGTTGGAGAGGTGTGTGTCTGTGTGTGTCCCCATTTATATACTTACGTGTGTCTGATACACTGTAGGCGCTCACCAAACATCGCAGGCAGATCGGTGAGTGGGCAGCTGATGGACAGGCACCCAGAAGGCTGCCTCTGGGTAAGGACCTCCTTTTTCACCTCCGTAATGAGAGGTAATACAGCCCCGGGGCCAAGAAGGTAGCCTGCATAGGCCCTCATTTCCTTCCAGTCTCGGCCCCCCAGCTTACCACCTCCGCGGCCCTAAGCCAGTACCTTCCCCTCTCTGAGCCTCAGTTTCCTCACCTGTAAAATGAGGACAAAGCACCTCCCTCGTGGGGCTGCCATGAGTGTTAACAAAGTAACAAAGGAAAACACCGAGCTTGCCGCTTAAAATATATGGTGACCTTCGTGTATTTTTACAATTAACATAAATTACTTTAGAAATCTGAACACCACAATAGAAATATTTTCATCTGGACAAAAATCAAATTTTAAGAACCAAAGAACTTCTACTAGTAGGTCCCCTCTCTGCCCCCCGCACCCCCATGATGTCAACGCCAAGCCTGATACCTTGTGGTTGGTCTCCGCCCAGGTCTTTCCAAGCGTTTCCCAGGACTTCAGTCCCTCGAGGCTGTGCAGAAAACCGTGTCTGCCCAACTTCTGTCTCCCAATCACACCGTCCTCTGGCTGTGGCTGTTTGCCCAGAAAGCAGTTCATCTATTCATTCAAGATGCCCGGGAGCCCTCCAGAGTGCAGTCCCCCCAGAACATCCTCATCCCTTAGGAGGCTCCCAGAGAGCCCCCGTTCTGTGCTGAGCTCCAAGCTCACTGGGGCTGCTGCCCTGAATGGGCCGAAACCCTGCCAGGGAAACAGCTGGAGGGAGGAGAGAGGAGGGAGGGGCAGGAAACTGGGCTGACCGAGGGGGTAGGCAGCTGCGTGGAGTCGGCCGCCAGGGGAGGCTGTCCTTGCCAGCAGGGGACTAGGCTTGTGGGCGGTGGCTGGTGGCAATGCCTGCTGGGACGACCCGCCCCTCTGGCGTCCCAGTCCAGCTGGGAGCTGTGCCCACTGTCTGAGCTCAAACCAGGAGCACATGTGAGCCCCGGGCAGCTGTGGGAAGCAAGTCTGCTCCCAATAAGGGCCCCAGGAGCGCGGACTATGAGACAGGCTGCCGGATACCCCACCACCCTGGTCAGCCTCTTCACCCCAGCCTCTGTGCATGTTGTTCCTTCCATCTGGATGCCTTTCCTGCCCCTCTTCATGCGGCCTGATGACCACCTGCTCTTTTTTTTTTCTTTTTCTAAGTTAAAACAGCAACAAAATTTTTTAAAGTATCAAATGAACAAAGATTAAAATGTTTTATAATGTTTAAATGTAGTACATGTTATAGGGAAGCACAAATCTTATATGTAATTGGAACATACATTCATATGCCATTTCTGGAGAGCTGACAAAATGTATCAAAACTTTTAGCTACATTCACACCCTGCATTGTTGAAATATAAATTCTGTTTTCATCCCAAACCCTGCTCCCCAGATATAAATATTATTAACACTTTGGTATGAACACACATACACACACACACACATTTTATATATAAATGTAAAACAGCTCATACACTATCATATTGTAAATTGCTTTTTCATTCATTCAATGATAAAATGTATATTATACATATATACCTTTCCCTGTTTTAACAGTCACTAATTATTTCATTGAATTGATGCACCATAGCTTATTTAATCAATACTTTTTTGGTGATTGGTTAGGTTATTATCTCAACTTTTGACTATAATAAACACACCATTTCACACTTGCCCAAATATTTTCTTATGCAAAATTTCTATGAACTTATTATTTCCAGGGCCTCCTGTGCCCTCTTCAGGTCTCAGCTTGGGGGCTACCTCCCCAGAAGCCCTCTGAGGTCTGTTCTGCACCCCCCTTGGCTACCCCCACCCCACGTAGCAGTGATGCCGGCCTCACTGCAGACCTGAAGAATCAGAACCTCTGTGGCTGGGACCCAGTGAGCTGCGTGTTAGCAAGCTGCTGGGGAGTTCGGATGCTCATTCAAGTTTGAAAACCACGGATACAGACGTTTCCACTAGGAATGAATTCGGGACCCTGGAGCAAGTTACCTTGTCAATCCACAGACTCGTTAGCATGGAGTGTCTGGGATCAGATAAACCTAGTTTGACTGGATCCCTGTCTCCACCCCTGTGAGCTGTGTGACAGGGGCAAGTCCATTCACCTCTCCGAGCCTCTGGATGGAGAGGGAGGGGGCAGAAGGGCGGCAGGCCCCCCAGGATGACGGGGCACCCTCAGGAGATCCTGAAAGGGGAGCAGTGTTAACCCAGTCTCCAGGCGGACCTGGGAAATTGCATCTTCGCATTGGGCGCCGCTCTGCAGGCCTCCTGGAGGCCTCTCACCTCCAAGCCAACCCGAGGCTGTCATGAGGCTTGGGTTTATCAGCTGGGAGCCACGTCTGGCAGAGCAAGGACACTGGGCTCAGGGCCACCTGGGTCTCTGGATGCGGGGCCCCCAGTGAGGAGCAGACGGAGTCCCGCCCTGGCCAATCAGGAGCCTTTGCCCACCATTCTGCACAGGGCTGAGAAGTTGGCTTTTGCTTCCTTGGAGTGGAAAGGGGTGAAGGCTTTTTTTGTTTGCTTGTTTTGGAGGGTTTTATTTTAATAGGATTCTGAAATCTAAGGCCTGACATAGGTATAATGGGCCTGAGGGAGAGGCGGTGGCCTTCAGGGCAAAGAGGCTTCTCCTGGTTCCCTTGGAAACTCTGCATAGTTCCAAGGTGGTGGGTCAAGCTTCGCCTTGATGCCCAGCTCCAGCTGGTTGGCTCTGGAATTCTGGAGCCTGTGTCCAAGGGAAACTGAGGCCACCCCCAGACCTGGCTGGAAAGAGCATGGTGGTCTCTTAGTCCTGCCCTGGACCCCGGGGAAGAAGGCTGTGCCTTTCTCATCTCACTCTGTCCACCAACTAAAGGCATCCCAGTGGCCCCGGAGGCTAGGGTATGGTTCCAACTCTGACTGATCCTGTCCTATCCTGTCCCAGGTATCAGCCAACTCCAACGCAAATGAACTTCTACCTTCATTCCTACACCCCTTGTATCTGCTTCTGATTGATCTTTGGTGTTCATGGATTCCCAACACTCTAGTTAAAGCTAACTAGTTTTCTTCGTCTCCCTCATCATCAGTTGCTAAACTAGGCTCAGAGTGGCTCTCAAATGACAGGAAGCCTACGAAGATGGTGTCTGTGACACAAAGGATTCTCTGGAAGTCTGAATGGTTTCTATTTTGGACTTTCTTTAAGGTACGGACAGGCCACAATGGAGTGAAAGCTCCATGTCAGCCAGTGACTGGCTGTGGCTTAGGCAAGTCACGTAGCATGTCTAGTTTGTTCAGTGCCCATGCAGTCAGTTATAGATGTGAATAGAGTTGTGAGTCTTGAGATGAGATTACTGGCTTACCCAGGTGGGGCCCAGTGTCGTCCCAGGGTCCTTCTAAGAGGAAGGCAGACAGAGGTAGGAGAAGGCAGTAAGGTAATGAAGGGGCAGAGATTCGAATGATATGGCCACAAACCTAGGAGTGTGCACAGCCTTTGTGCTGGAAGAGACGTGGAACCGACTCTCCCCTGGGCCTCCAGCGGGAACCCGCCCTGAGAAAATCTCAATTTCAGCCCCTTAAGACTCATTTTGGACCCCTTACCTACAGAACTGTGGTAGTATAAATGTGTGTTGTTTTAAGCCACTAAATTTGTGTTAATTGGCAGAACGGTAAGAAATTAATGTTGGGCTGTTCCAGAGATTTCCAGAACACAGACCTGGGAGGCAGGCAGATCTGGGTGTGAATCCCTGCTCCACTGGCTGGCTGGGTGACTTTGTGAAATTTCCTAACTTCTCTGAATTTCAACTTTTTCCTATGCACTCAAGAGTGATAAAGTACCTACCTCAAACTGTTGTTGGAAAAATGAAATGAGTTGATACACACAATGTGCTGAGAACAGAGTCTGGCACACAGTTAGTACTCAATAAATGTTGGATTTTTTCCCCCTTTTATTAGGCATTCCCCTTTTACTTCAGGCCTTCTAATCTCCCCTAGAACATTACTAGCGCTGCCTTCCTGATGCTCTGTTTTGTTCAATGTCACTCCACTGCTCAACAACATTCCATAGCTCCCCAGTACAGTGTCTTCCTCTGGTCGTCAAAATCCCCCATAACTGAGCTCCTGCCAACTTCATCTCCTAGGAAGGGATAACAAAGCTGAAAGAGAGCTTGAGGAGCCAAACCTTCAGACGTCAATTGAAATGTCACTTTCTCTGGACCCCCAACACTGGTCAGTGCCTGTAGCACTCTGTCCTCCCTGAAGCACCAACCTCACTTGTAATGCAGCGATCATTTGCATTATGAGTACACCATGCATCTCTTGCTCCAAGCACTCCAAGGGGGGCAGGGACTGGTGCTGGGCACACAGTAGCTGCTCGATAAATATTTGTTAAATGAATGAATAGATGGATGACCAAAATCAGCAACCTCCTGATCCCAGCTGAGGACCCAAAGATTTCTTCCTGGCAGCCAAGTTCTGGTTCTTAACCACCGAGAGGACTGCAAAGTTACTGAGATAGGAGCGCCGAGCACCGGGCCAGGCATCCTCAGACTCACACCATCCTCAGCCGAAACTTTTATTGGAAATGAGATTTGTGTCTGTGCTGTCTGTGTTCAAGTAAGGGCAAAGGTGATTCTCCTGTCCTGCAGACCAGGCTCAGAGAGGCGGGGTGGGGGTGAGTTCCTTGAGCTCTGGGGGACTGTCCGAAGTGGAGGGAAGGAGCACAGAAGTGAGAAGCTGAGTTTGGGGAACTGAGAAGGAGGAAGAGGGGGGAGGATGCTGGCGGTCCAGTCAAATCTGCCCACCCCGCTTGCGCCCAGGCCCCCGGGCTTTGGTCCAGCCTGGGAAGATTAACAGCACAGGGCAGGGCCTTGGTGGGACAAGGAGTAAGGACACCTCAACTCGAAGGAAGGGGCTTCCCGTTGGGGGTGGTAGGGCCCACAGCACCCCAGTGAACCCTAGGGACCCCCACTCTCCCAGATCCTGCTACTGAAAGAGACAGCTTTCCACTAGGAGGGGCATGGTGGGACCTCTCTGGATGCCTGGAATGGCGGGAGCACTGGCAGAGCTGCCCCAACCCATTTCTCCAGTTTGGGGATGGGAGGAGCTCAGACATGCCTGAGACCTGTTCTCAAGCCCAAGCCAGCTGTCCTCTAATTCCCAGCTGATGCCTGATTGCATGCAAAGCTTCCATTTTCCAGGGAGTAGACTCTGGAGGCCCAGAGACGATTAGCAGTTGCTCAAAGCCACACAGCAAGTCCTGAGTAGCCCCTCCTCCCAACTGCCAGAGAACTCCTCCACCCCTGCAACACACACGCATACACACGTGCACACACACACACACACATGCACACACAGGCTTTTGTGACCTTGCCCCTGCCCGTCTCTCCAGCCATATGGCTCACCCCTTCTCCATCATCTGCTCTCACACCTTCATGAAGTTTCGAATCTCAGTGCCTTTTCCCAAGCTTCCCCTTCTGCCAACAATGCCCTCCCTTGCCACCCTATGCCTCACCCGGTTGTCTTTCAAAACTGAGCTCAGATGTCCTCCCCTCACTCAGACTTCCAGGGTTGCCCCTTCTTTCCCGCCCCTTCTGCATGGGGTGGGGAGGTCTGTACTTGGCCAACACATCTATCCTTTCTCAGATCACACTGCCTTTTCTTTTTACTACCTACACCTCGATCTCCACCCTGTCCCGGCTGCCAACCCACCAGACCTGACCCACCCATACCAGAAATGTTTGATGAAATGAGC